CCCTTGTAACCCACTTCCAACCAGATCCTATTTCTTAATTACACATTCAGCTACTCATACTGCTTAGTGTCCTCATGATCCAATCATCTTTCAAACATGAGGCTTTGGGGAGACATTTTAAACTATAACATTCTACCCCTGGTCCACAAAAGGTACATGTCCCTCTCATTTAGTCCACTTCTAAAGAGTCATCAAAGTCTTAACAGCTCCAGCATTCTGAAAAGTCCAAGTCTAAAATCTCCTCTGAAACTCAAGGCAAACTCTTAGCTATGAGCCCCTTCAAAAATTAAAATGAAAGTTAAATATTTCCAACATATAATGGCACAGGACAAACATTCCCATTCCAAAGGGGATAAATAGGAAGATATAAAGGAATTGGAAGAATGGAAGCCCAGCAGGGCAAACATTTAATGCTGTAATTAATGTCCAGCACCCAGGGCAAGTTGTGGCAAGGTGTGAGTTCCAAAGGGATTCAGTGGCTCTGCCCCTATGGTATTTCTGGTTGTAGCCAACATGGTCTCTTTTAGGTTAGCTTCACTCACTACCTATGGCTTTCCTCAGCAGATAATTCATACTGCTGGCATCTCCAACTTCCTGGGGTCCCCACTGTACCTTTGACCTCAATCTCATAGCTTCATGCGCTACCCTCCCAGGGACACTTTGCCTGCCTACCCGCCCCCAGCTTTCCTTTGAAATCTTTATGGAAGCCTCTATGACCCCACTACTCTTAAATTCTGCATGCCTGAAAACCAGGACCAGATAGATGACGTCAAGGTCGGCTGCCAGCTTGAGCAGTAGCCTGGCCTCACATGACTATATCTGTAGTGGTCACTGAGTACCTGAATAGCTGAGCACAGTGAAATGAATCCCAGGGAACCAACTCTATAGGAGGCCTTTCTTGAGCAGGTGTCCCAGGGACTCTCTTCTCAAATGAAAACTTAGTTTTGCATCCTTGAGCCTGTAAAGGATGGGGTCTGGCCAATTCCTGAGATGCCTTCAAGCCATCTTTCCTCTTGTCTTGGCTTTCCTATTATACTTGGATTCTTTTAAATGCTAATCATTTCAGCATCCATGCTTCCTGAAAACTTTTCAAATCATTCACCTCTGCTTTTTTCTCCTGAGTCTCACTATAGATCTGACTAAAAGCAGTCAGTAGTACCCATACCACAACCCAAACACTAGTCTGCCTTGAAATTTCTTCTGCCAGATCAATTAGTCCACTGCCCTTAATCTCAGACTTCCATGAAGTCTCAGGACATAGGCAAAAACTAGACAAATATAACACTCATGGCCTTTGGCTTAATTGCCAATGGAGCCTTCGTTCCCTACTTAAACTTCCCTAGCCTGGTCTTTATTGTATCCATTCCTATCAGGACTCTGAGTTCCAACCAAAATCATCCATCAGACTCTGCTTACAGCATTATATGGCTTCTCCAGCCTACATTTTCAAAGCTTTCCAAACTCCCACAAATCAATTCTAAAGGCTTCTAAACCGCATGGTCAGGTAGTCACAGCAATGGCCCCATTCTCAGTACCACTGTCTGTATTAGTCAGTTTTCTAAGTTAATCCGTAAATGGATCAGAGTAACACACTCGAATGAGGAATATATTGCCTCTAAAATCCAAATAGGCCCATATGCATTGTACCTCTTTCTTTGGTTATAGGAGGGGTCAGATGCAACAATTTATCCTTTAGAAGAGATATCTCAGCATGCACTACACAACCATAGAAATTTCATGGAGGTGGGAGGCTTTAAATGTTAGTTGGATTTATTTCCTATCCTTGAACATGTAAAACGCTTTACCAACAAGTCCAGAATCATTGCTACCTATTAATCACTTGGCCCAATCAGTTTAAGATCATTACCATAATGAATCAATGTGATACCCTGTGAAAAGAAAGACAGTGAAGATCCTTGCAAACTAAACTGTGACACAGAGCTGGACAGCTGATGCACACTTGAAGTAGGAGGGTAAAGGTATATTGCTAAGCCTTGCCAACTGAAACAGTTTACTTCTGGTGTTCATAAGGATTGGTGAGGAGAATAAGCATTTGCCAAATCAATAACCGCATACCAAGTACCAGGAGATACATTAACCTGCTAAAGCAAGGAAACCACAAGTTAAAGTTACTACTTGATTAAGTTTACAGTAATCCATCATCCTTTAAGGTCTATTCATCTTTTGAATAGACTAAATATGAGAATTAAATGGGAATGTGGTGGGAACCACCACTCATGCGTCTTTCAAGTCTTTAATGGTGACACTAATCTCTGTAATCTTTCTAGGAATGTGATACTGTTTTGGGTTTACTATTTTCTCAGGTAGAAGCAACTCTAATGGCTTCCAATTGGCCTTTCCTACCATAATAGCCCTTGCTCTTGATCTAATATTGTATATTGGTAGGTTAATTAGCTATCTTGTAGGCAGTTAGACAGGACCAGCCCTCAAGGAGCCAACATGGAGAACAATCAAGACACATTTATTAAAGGCCAGAATATAAAAGGGGATCAGAGTGCTTCCTCTAGGGATGAATAGCAGTGACTGATAGTCTAAATAGGTATCAATCACCCAGGTGGGGGAATCAAGGTCTTAACCACCCCTTCTAGGAAAGATTCTAACCCTCCCCTTACTGAAAGTCCTTGCTTGGTATGCTTGCTATGTGACTTGCTTCCCCATTTGATCCCCATTTAATCAATATTCTATACTTGTCATAATCTTATTGATTATAGTTTTCTCCCACCTTGTGATTTCCCATTGAATCAATATTACCTAAGCAATTATACTCGTAATCACCTTGAATCCACCTCACTTTGTGGCTTTGCTCCAAAAAGTCCCCTTGGGAGACAGGGTCCTGGGAAACCCACTTTTTGGGTGTCCCCTCCTGTGTCTCTTAGGCAGGAGCTGTCTCTCCCTCAATAAATTTTTCCTAGTCTTAACCTCAATTTATCTTGATCCTAGAATTCATTCTTCCATTTTAGGGAACATGAACTGGAGCTTCAGATATCAAGCAGGTTTTGGAGTTAGACAAATAGCCTCTTGAGAGATTTTGAGCCTAGGACTTATTGGCTTGAGACTAGTGTCTTAGGGCAAGCCTCTTAAGGAAATTAGAAGTGCTAATATATTGAAGGTATATTATTGCAGATAGCTAAGTTAGTTAGAAATTATTATAAGGTGGTTAGACAAAGCTGGGACATCAGCATAAGAAATAATTGAGGCACATTTACTGCTTCACCTTGTGGCTTTGCTCAATAAAATGCCCCCCTGTGGGTGGGCAACCCACTTACCAGTCCCCCTTCTATCTCTCTTAGAAGTTATTTTTCTCTCAAAAAAATTTTTCTACTCTTAACTTCCACTGTTCCTAGAATTCCTTCTTCAATTTTAGAGAGCACAAACTCAAATTTCAGATATCTAGCTGGTTGGGAGTTATAGTTCCCTGTTTGGATTATTTTTGCTTATTTGGATTACTTGCTGCCTTATATCATTTGTTGATTACTTACTTCCCTGTATCACTATCACAATATCCACAGAGGCCGTGAATAGGGTATAGGAGTGAGAGGTCCTGGGTCTGAGTTGGAAAACAATTGCTCTGCCTAAAGATTTTCAAATCAGATTGAGAAGGCTGGGTAAAAACTTCAGATTAAAAACACACATCCACCTATGAACAGCAAATAGGTTGTGACCCATAGTTGGAAGTGGTCATTAACCCACTGATACTGGGAGAATAGATGTAACTCCCAAACCCGACAGATATCCAAAGTGCAGGTTTGTGTTCTTTAAAATAAAATAATTAATTCTAGGAACAACGAGGTTAAGAGTGGGAAAATGTTATTGAGAGAAAGGTAGCTTTTGACAAAAGTTGGGACAAAGCCATGATGTGAGGAGGGTTCAAGGTGGGACAAAACTGTAGTCAACTAGCAAGATTGCTAGTACAGTTTCTTAAGTAATACTGATCCAGTGAGAAATCACAAGGTGGCAAAACTATGACCAACCAATAAGATTATGACAAATATAGTTGCTTAGGTGATATTGATTAAATGGGGATCCAATGGGGAAGCAAGTCGGATAGCAAGTGTACAAGGAATGAGCAAGGATTTTTGGTGGCAAGGGTGGGTCAGGGATCTTTCTTTAAAGATCTAGGTCCCTCACCCAGGTGACTGATACCTATTTAGAATATAAGTCACTGCTATTCACCCTTAGGGGAAGCTCGTGGCTGTGGTACTTTCTCTTCTTTCTCAGTGCTGGCCTTTAGTGAATGTGTCTTGACTGTCCTCCACGTTGGTTCCTCAAAGGCTGGCCCTGTCTAACAAACTGCCTACAAGATATCTAATTAACTTAGCTATCTACAATACCATCTCTGCTATCTTTCATCTCCCTGACAAGGCAGAAAACTATCACATGAGTAAAAACAGTTCTGGAAAATCAAACTTTTGATAACACTCCAGAAGTAAATTAATGTGCCTCTCTCGAAGGCAGTGTTTATAGCCTCCCAACCACATAGACTGAAAGATTTCCTTCCTTCTCCTGACAATGTTGTTTAAAGATATAGCCACTAGATCTTCCCTCTCTTTCTTTACTTCTGATTTTTGATCACTCACTGCCTCCATCCCAGCTCTCCCTTTTTAAGCATATTCACACTCAGACCTCCATAAACCTTCTCTGCTTCTCAAATATATTTCCAAGACAAGTAAGGGATTTGGTAGAGGCTCCTTTGTCCCATCCAGTCATCTTATATGGGGCCCTGTTTGCCAAAGCATTCAGTTTCTGACAATTGGTGACCAGGTAATTGTGAAGGAGATCACTGAATATAGGCGGTGAAGAGTAAAGAGAAAGTAGGAAACAGATTCTGTTTGTGAGTGGGACACCTAAAGACCTAGGCTATGTAACTTTTAGATGACCAGACACTCTCATCTATAGAATGAATCACTACATGAGCTTCTCTTAGGGAACAGAAGGGCTTTGTGATGTAGTCTGGTAGCCTGGTTCTGTCCTCTGTGAGGTGGACATGACAAAGCCTAGCTTGGAGTCATTAGTCACTAGAACCTTAAATGCCTACATGTAGGGATGGTTGGGCTCCTCAAGCTAATGAGGTTTAGACCATGTTGAACCCTACATTTGTTCTATGGAATAATGTATACTCCTTATATACCTGTGGCTCCATCTTCATCATTATCCTACTTATCTGGCAAGTGAAACGGCATTACCATGGATTGAGACTTGAACCTGAAAGGAGCTGCTGTTGGGTAGGGAACTACCATGAACACAACTGAATTCGTTTAAGCCTCAGATAAGCTTTTAAATTCTCAGTGTTTCTCCTTATTACCAACCCACCCCTATTTTATATACCACGCCTTCATTTACCTCTAAATAATATTCTAGTTAAAAAGCCAAGAACTACTCTATTTGGTGTGGGTTGAAAAAAAGATGATATAAAGTATACCTTAAAGATCTCAGAAGACCTCTCAATGTAGGGAATTTTTGTTCAATCCCCAGTACCAGATATATATATTTTTTTCTAGTTGGTGAACTTTGTAAACAGAAGTCCTTATATTGACAGAAACACTCATTCTTTAATCTCTTCTACTTTTTTACCTGTCTTCCTAAGCTCCCTGCAGAACTTATGATAAGGATAGGGATAGGAAGAGAAAGAATGAAGAGCCTCAAAGTGAATCAGAAATAGGCACAGAAGGGAAATGCTGGGATGAAAAGTGGGATATAGGTAAAAGAAATGTGGGACAGTTATAAAATACATAGTTACAAATACATAGGGAATGGAAAATGTGTGTTAACTTGTCTCATTTTGGTTATTTAAAAAAATGGCTCCCAGCTTGACATTCTGTTCTTCCTTTAAGTGTCACCGAAAAGTCAGGCAAAGGAGAAGAGATGCAGCATCAAGAGGTAAAGTCCCAATCTTTCCTCTTACTCCCTTCCACTGTAGTTGAGCTTCCCGTTGTTCATGTCCCTCTGTGAGTCTCAGTGCCAGGAGAAACAGGAGCCAGTACTGTAACTGGTGAGAGCTCCAGTTTTCCAAATGGATGACTTTCATGGAGGACTTGGATAGATAAAAATCAGAGTGTAGAAACGTTTCAAAATTCTCTATCTTATTCCTTTGAGATTAAAGAATTGAGAGAATAAGGCAGATGACCTTAACTGTGTCATTTGCTAGTTTTATGAAATGAAGTGGAAATCACTTCATCCTTCAGTTTTATCCACAAAATAGCCATAACTTACTTGTAGTTATGAAGGTCAAATGAAATTAGTAAGGGACACCATATGATAAATAGTAATATACAGAAACACACCTTAGAGTACTGACTCTGTGTTTTCAATCTTATTAGGGAAGGGTCTTACTATTGAGCTCCCTACAGGTTACCCTGAAAACAATCCTATACTATGTAACACACTGTTCTGGTTCCTCAGCTAGGAGATTTTCCCAGAAAGAAGCAGAGAAGCAGTGGGACCTACTCTCAATCATGAAAAGGTGATCTCTTGCTCTTTGCAGTCTCCCAACTCCCAGCCTGGGCTGTGATGAGTTTTTGGCCCAGCCTGGCCTGGGGCATGAAAGAGGAGGTAATGGCTGGGAGGGACACATACATTGGAGAGGTTGATTCACTGATTAAGAAAGGTGCCAGCGCCAAAGGTGCGTTCAGACACCTCAGAAAGCAAAAGTCAGAAATTTTATGATTTGCTAGGTAGTTCTGCAATTCAGGATTTGATTACTGTACAAGTAAGTCAAAGAAAATGCCACTGAATTTTCACTCAGCCATGATATGTTATCTAGTGAAGAGAATGGATTTTACATAAAGAAGTCATCGCTGTCATATTCTCTTTGCATTACCTCTTCTGCTCTGTTTTCAAGGAGGCTGGTTCCTGGGAAAACTTTCATACAGGAGCCCATCATCTTTGCCTTAAAATTTCTGGAGAGCAAGACTTAATTCCAACAGATTCTAGTTCTCACAATACAAGGCTCTCATGAAGACCTCATTTTCTACAATGTAGATCAAGAATTTATAGAACTTGGAGTAGGAAATAGCAATTGCCAGACCACACACTTCCAAGGAGGCAAATATTCCTAATCATTAACAATTGCCATGTTTCCCTTCCCAGCCAGCACTGGCTTCCCCAACAGGAAAATGTGCGGCAGCTCCTGTGTGCAGATTCTTCTTGCCAAACCTGCAATGCCATGGCTCTGGAGATTCAGCAGCTTCTGGAGGATAAGAACCAGATGTCCCCAACTTTCTCTGGACCATCGCAGAGCTCTTCTTGCTTACAGGTGATGTCCACATCAACTGTGTCTTCTGAGCAGAATCTAGAACCTCATCCTCAGTTCTCCAGAGACCTTTCACTGACACCTGCAACCCCAACACAATCACAACAAATGCAACAAAAATACTTAACCCAGACAGTTGCCCAGAAAACTAGTGCCATCAAAATACAAGAATATTTTGCTGATCATCTCCAGCTAGGGCAGGAATTTCAACTGGCAAATATGTCCATCGTCCAAGAGAGTAGGGCTTCTTCAAAGCTTGAGGAGCCTATGGTTCCAGTAAATGCTCAGGAGATGATACAAAATAAACCCAACCTTATCCAGGGGAACCAAGGCCACCACCACCTGAAGTCACTGAATGCAGAGTTCACTAATCTGACACATCCTATGATCTTGAATGTGGACTCAGTCCTCCCTGCCCACCTGCCATTCTTCAGACCTCAAGTTTGGAGGCTTCTTGAAAGACATGTAAAAAAATGGATGCATTTCCAGAGGTGGGGGCTCCCTAGACGTGTGGAAGACTCTCTGAGACAGCTTGTGCCAGACCCAATATTGTTTGGCAAAATTAGAAAAAACCTACAATTTTCCTCCATTCTGAATAGTACTTCTAAGGTCACTTGTGACAAAATTGGGACCATTGTCCCACATACCTGGGGTTCATACATAAGCAGAGAGCCCATTCAGTCTATCTGGGTTTCTGAGTGGTCTCTTATAAAACCTCAACAAAGATATCAATACCAGCAAGTCCAAAACCATGAGACACTAGCCTTGTCCTCTCCACCTCTTGAAGTCTTAAGTGGCTTCTATCTACCACCTGAGGGACAGACTAATGACTCAGAAAACAATCTGCACCAGAAATACAGGCAGCTTTTCTGCGGCCACCCCTCTCTGCACAGTGAATCCTTGTCAGACACATTCTTGAGCTCTGAAGGCCTCTCCAAGAACAAGAATATATCCAAGCCCCCACCGAAGGATTCTCTTCCATTCAAGGGACTCTCTACCCATCCCTTGCTGCCCAAAACACCACCTGAGATAATCGTGCCTTCTTCTCCATCTTCTCCAAATTGTGTGTCTCCAGCTGAACATCAACAAGCTCATATAGGTGTCCCATTTCTGACTCCAGCTGAATGTAAAGCCTTAGAATGGCACCTGCTGCAGAGGCAGCCCCAGTTTCAGCGGGGCCTGCCAGCTGTCATCCAGAGACCTCACTGTGCCTACAATCCCATGCAGTTTGAGCCACGTGACAAAGCCCAGGCTCCTGAGACTGAGAAAATGTCCTGGCCAAGGAAGCCCATCTCCGAGACACTACACTTCTTCCCAGAGCATGCTCGCAGGCTGCTGGAATTTCACTTCCAGAAGCAGTTGATCCGCCTTCGCTGGGGCCTGCCCGAGAAGATCCAGCAGTCCTTCCAGTTGCTCCTTTCCTCTGCTGATCAGCAGGCTCTGTCCTGCAGCAGCACAACCCTACTCAATGTGAGTATCCCCCAATGTCTGACCCTAAAGGACAAGGGGGATGGCGACCCAGTCTCACCCATACTGGCCCAAATGTCAATCCCTGTGCCACACTTGTTCACCCAGGCCAAGGCAATACTGCAAAGCCATATTGACTCCAAATGTGGTCAGATCCACCAGGGCAAGGTCCCCTGCTGTGTGTATAGCTCCTGGGAAGGCACAGTTCCTGGGGGCCTGGCAGTGGCTCCCTTCCCCTGCGTTCCACAAGGCCAGCCCCTGGAGCTGCAGGCAGCAAGCGACCCTGACCTACACAATAAAGTTATGCCAATGGCCCACGATCCTCAAAAACAGGCCTCAGCACGCACTGTCACCGAACACCCTAAGCTGCACCAAGCCCTATCTCAAGGAACCATTGAGAAACTGGAGATGACTTTACGGCACAAGTATCTCACCTTCCTGTCAGGACTGCCTGCTCTTTACTCTGTAGCTCTTTCTACAGCTATGGCTCCAGCAGTCACTAGCCAATCTGTAGCCACAGGGATGGTGCCAGGGCCTAACGAAACCCCAAAGGAGCCACTGGCTCAGATTATCTCACTGAAAGACCCAAGTAGGAGGCTTGGGCCATGCTTTCAAAACGGCGATGAGACTTGGGCAGACAACGCAGATTTTCAACCTGAGGTGCAGGTGGAAGGAATAACAGAGTCAGTACCTCTGGAGAGCCAGACAAACCCTGCTGTCCCCTACTCATTCAAGACACATATCTTGTCCAAGCTAAACTTCCACCTGAGAAAAAAGGTCCTAGAGATAAAACTGGGAGTTCCCATAAAGGAAAGGCAGTCCAGGAAACTAACTGCAGCGGGCCCACAGGACAAGTCCTCACAGCCGTCTCTTAGTAGTCTAAGCAAGCAAGGAAGCACAGTGCTCCAGGAACTGCCCAATCCACCAGACGCTTCTCCTGCCCCAGATTCAGAGTGGGTTCACCTTAAAGAACACCTGGCCTCTCAGCTGAAGCTGGGGCAGTGCAACCAAAAGCCAGCTAGTTCCAAAGCAGTACCCCCTGCTTCCACCCATCGGCCCTCCAAGATCTCGCAACCCAGCGGGGACATGACTGAGGCCCAGGTGCTTTGTGTTCAGGTGGAGGCCAGTGTAAACAACCCCAGCCTGGAGCAACCCTGGAGCCTTGAGCCTCAAAGCCCAAGCAAGGGCAAGGGCTCAGCCCAAATCCCCACACTGGCAGAAAAGAGAGAAGACCTAGCAAAACCCAAAGCAGCAGGGGACCTCAGAGAAGGGGACGCAAGGCTTGGGCTCTCTTTAACCAGTGCAGAAAGACACCCTGATGAAAATCAGGAGCCAGAAGAAATGTTTCTGAACAGAAAACCCCAGGGTTCCTGGCGATGGACGCGCAGCTGTCATCTTGTGGATCTCCAACAACACAGTTCCAGGTATCATCCTCAGCTTAAGCTTTCAGAGCCATGTCCAGGTGTCCCTGGGGGAAAAGAATCTGAGCATGATGTGCAAGACCATCAAAGAAGCTTAAATGTCCTCAAATCTTCAGAGATTCCTAAGAGTTTCCATCCTGCAGCAGCCCAACCGTCACAGGGCCAGCCTTTCCTGGGCCAAGCAACTCAGCACAAGGCTTGGAAGGGCCAAATTTTGCAAGGTCAGGATTTTCAGGGGCAAGGGATGCCACCCTATTCTCACCAGAGTCTCAGCCTTCCAAAGTCTGGCTTGATAAATAAGATGAAATCCTTTCTGCACTGCATCAGTGCCATGACAAAAGGCAAATGGCATGTGGACCCCATCTTCTCCGCACCTGGGAATGTGGCCAAAACTGTAAAAGAAAATGTTGAAAAGAGCCTGGCTCCAACCAAAAGCACCGTGGAGAAAGCTAAAACTGACACACCAAAGAGATACCCCAAGATCCAATCACTCCCCACAGACAGGCCAGTAGGCCTGGCCTCGTTAGATGTTTTCCATTCCCCACACAAGAAGCTCCAGCTGTGCTCCCAACTACATGGATCTGTCTCCATCTCAGGCCACCGCCAACACTGTCCTAGGCATTGTCCTGGAGTGGCTGCGCCACCCAATCAGGGAACCAACCCTCCCATCTCTCATCTCAGAAACGTGTCCTTACCCAAGAAGAACACCTAGGGATTTGACTAAGAGTTTCTAGGCTTCCCAATTTCTGTATCCTTTGTAGAACTCTACTATTGTCATTTTCATTAATAAACAGGTGGGACAGAGTGCCACCTGAAATAGACTCTATCTCTCTAAACAAAGAGCTATCTGTGTCTTCCTTATCCCTGTTGTACTTTGTTAAAAGAAGGCCTAGGCTCAGTTTAAAAGTCAGTTCTGCCCATAGAAGTTTTAATTGATTCATTCACATAGGTCAGCATTTCACAGCTCATTGCTCATCCTGGATTGCAGATAAAGGAAGATGATGAGGAACTTCCTTTGTGTAAAGTACATTGAAGATAAAGATAGGAATTGAATTCTAAACATATACTGTTACAGAAAAGTGCAACAGCTCAGCATTACAGCCAACTGTTACAGGTCTGTGTTACAGCCAAGTGTTACCATCTCTGGCAGCTAAGTCGAGAGGCATTCAGAAAGATGGAGGGATTCTTTATTACACTGGAGGGCTCAGGGGAGTTCTGAGCCCTGAACAGCAATGCAAGCAGCCTTATATAGAGATCTTGGGGTAGGGGAGTGAGCAAACCTACAGTGAGAGCATGCTCATAGAGGTGGATGGGTGGCCTTGACAGAACATTCTTGAGACCTTAGGTACAAACATCATGCAGCACAGTTACATTGCTTTGCAGCACAAACTGTGTCAGTACTTGAACAGAACATCCTACGGCAAAAACATGGAAGCCTTGGCAACAGACAAAGGCCTGCCCTATTGTGCATTATTTCTTTATCAATACCACCCATTGCCACCAAATTCTTTTGTATGTCTTATATCTCCAGGGTCAAGAATAGTGGTCATAGAAGAAAAATTCCGAGATGTACTAATTACAAAGACTGAGGTTGGAATAAAGAAGAGGTAAAAGAAAATTAATGTTATCAGCTATAGACTGAATCAACAAAATGACAATTAATGTTGAACTTTTATTTAAATCCCACCATTACAGTGCCCTGTTTACACATAAAGTTTGGGAATTCTTTAGCCCCAACCAATCTAGAAGCAACAAATACTTCTCCTTATAGACTACCCTCTTATCCCAAAACACTACCTGCTTCACATTATTCCACCTCTTATCTGTAGCCAGTTCATTAGAGTATTTTCTTTGTCAGTGTTTACAAAAAAGTGCACTTAGGGGCGAGAGATTTAGCTCAGTGGTTCCACCATCTGCCTCGCAAGCAGAAGGTCCTGAGTTTGATCCCTGGTACCAAAAAAAAAAAAAAAAAAAAGTGCACTTAGTTGTGATCCAGTGGCTATTTTCTGACTGTTACCAGCCCTGCTGCTAGAAGTTATAAAAATTCATCCCAAGAACTTTTTTCTTTTTCTGGCTAGTATGTGTAATGACTTGATAAACCACTGTCAATCAGGTAAGACCTTAATTCAGGGATTCCTTTGCCTCTAGAGCTTTGGTTTAATGGTATTTAATTGCAAGCAGTCTAAATAATGCATTTCATTAGTGTCATGTAGTGTGGCACCCCAACATAGGAGAAGAATAGTCAATTGATAAGGAGGTCCCCAGATATTGGTCACCATAAAATGACCTTGAGAAGCACCTTGCACTCAACAGTTAAATATTTGAGTAGTTCCTATATGCCACTACCACGCTAAACATAACAATGAACAAGGGCCAGCCAAAATAGAGTTCCTGATTTCATGCAGTAAATGTTCTCAGATGCCCAAATTGCCTAATGAATATGTATACTTAGAAGTCAACATTCATCTCAAATTACCAAAAATGAAGACCTGAACTTGACCTTTTCCCTAAACAGTCTGTGTCCATTAGCAAATCTGTTGTCTTTGCCTTCAAAACTACACCTAGACTATGACCACTGCTCAGGCCCTTCACAGCTATCATGACTGCAGTAGCATCATAACTCTGTGTTTCATCCTGAGAACATACTCCCAATGGTCTGTACTTGACACAGAAACATGATATCCTCAGGGAGAGTCTGGACTACATATAACAGACAGGTAGACACAGAGACAAAAAATGTATATGAAACATATATAAACATATATAAAATGAGGTCTTACCAGCTAAGATCACCAAGGGACTAAATGTAAAAATGAAGAAAAAAATCTAAGGATTGGGCCCTAGGATACTTTAAGAAATTGGAAAATATAGGAAGAAAACTAAGTAGTGGACACTGAAAACCAATAGCCCGTGAGGTGGCAGGAAAACCAAAAGAGTGTAGTATACCAGAAAATAAAAAAAGGAAAGTTTTTTTTAAGGACAAAGTGATTAACCGCATGAGAAGTTGTCAGCTAGCCAAGTAAGATGAGGACCATTAGATTTATGCCTTTGAGAAGAACAGCCTCAGGTGTGCAATTCAGATGAAGGCGTAATTGGAGTGGATTCAAAAGAGAAAGGAAGGAAAGTAATTAGTGATAACAGCACCAAATCGGATTCTTGATTCAGAGATTGTAGAAATGAGACTAAACCAAGTATTTCAACCATATACACAGGTAATATTTAATGAGAAGTAGGGAGGGTAGAGACTTCAGCTGAAGCAAGTCAGCATAGACTGAGAAAAGGGGGTATTAGGGTGCTCTCAGAACAAAGAAAGTGTAAGTTTTCATGGATTTACTGAAGTGCTAAAATTCCAGTAAATTTCCACTAGCCAGGGGCATGTTTTCAAAAGATGTCTCCTCCTTGGGAGACTTAGACCTCCAGATAGTTAATCATGGTCAATTTATCCTAGGAATCACTGTGTTACTCTTGTAACTGGAGCCGCCTGCCTATGTAAACATTCCTGCCTCAAGATTTGCTCCAGGCTTTAGATGCCTCGGCTGTTTTAGCTGCTGGAAAAGCACAAGGGTAGGGGCAGAAAAAGAGAGCAGAGAGAAGGTAAAAGAAAGTACCAGTTCCAACAGGCAATTGGCCAAGCTAATCCTGTATTATAAATCTTGGACTACACATTTTTAAATGATCAACATGTTCACAGTGCAGAGCTGAGTCAAGGATTAAGACAGCAAAGGGAAGGATATTTCCTAAATACCTGACACCTACAACTTAAAAAAGAAGAGAGACTTAATTTGGCTCATATTCAAAGGTTTCAGTCTAGGGTCATGTGGCTTCAGGCAGGAGCTTCGTGGTGGGAGGGCATAGTGGTGACCAGGAAGTGACCTCCGAAGGCACACCCCCAGCCATCCACCTCCAACTAGACCCCACGTCCTAATAACACATTCAGATAGAACCTCAGTCGGCTGATCCACTGAGTATAGAGCCCCATAATCTGATCACCTCTCCAGGAGTCTCTTAATCCACTCAAGTTAAACAAGATCACCTGGCACAAGGACAGACACAGCAATGAAGACAGAGTCACCAACCTTTGTTCCATTTTAGTCACCATCATATATCTGTAGGCTTGAGTGAAGAGTCAGTGTTTTCAGCAAAAGCGGTCTTCAAGTTTCTACAAAGTAACTATTAGCATAAACCACACTTCAAGTTATTATTTGCAGCATAGCTAGTAGGACACTAATAATGTATTGCCCAGATGTGTGACCTTCAAAATTAGTAATTTTTAAGTCTAGTAAGAACAAGTAAAAGGGCTGGGGATTTAGCTCAGTGGGGCCATGCCTGCCTCACAAAAGCAAGGTCCTGAGTTCGATCCCTGGCATCAGACAAGTGAGGCTAGAAAGTTGATTTGGGTTCCTCCCATTTCTGGTATAATTCCTTCATTTTATGTAAGCATTCTGTTTCTGTGGTTTTACCAGAGTTTCATGCTGAGTCTGTTGAAACTGAGCAACATGCCATAGTACAAAGGACAACAGCTTACTGCACCCAGGCGTCTACTGTGTAGTCCCAGCCTTTGTCCCACTAGAGTGATCCCGAACCGTCTTGACAGCAAGTGTCAACAATTCCCTCCAGCAGTTTTTTTTTTTTTCTCAAATGAAGGTGCAAAAATATGTTGCAACAGTATGAAAAGGGTGTCTTTGAAAATCTGGACACACAGAGGATAAATGTTTATAGAAAAGCTCTAGTTGAGAGGGATAAATTAATAATGCAGGAGAGCAAGAGAAGAATTACTGAAAAAGCCTTGTGGAGCAGAAAAAGGTAAGGGATAGAAGCAAGTCCCCAAGTTGAGGGACCAGCTTGGGCTAAAGCACAGATGCCCTATTCATATAAGCAGAGAAATGTAGTGTTAATAAGATAGCACTTTATGGATCCAAAGAAGAAAGTTTTCACCCATAGTCAGAGCATGGAGAAAGACCCAGAAGAGTGACAGAATGAGACGGGACCTAGACAGTACAGGGGAAAGGGCAATATGGAAAGTCAAAGCCAAAAAAAATTAGAGGTGGTCAGGGATTCTGGAAAGTTTCTTTTAGGGCCTATGGAATTAGTCGCAGTGTGAGATCCCATGTGCGCTGAAGTGCCAATCATGCTTGTGAAGCAAGTGATTTTGGAACATTAGAATAACAGGAAAGATCCCAAAGAAAGCTCTAAAGGTACAAAGCCCGAGCAAGAGCATGGTGCCAGACATGGAGAAACAGAGCTGAACACATCCTAGTGTTCAGCATGGGACCAGGGGGCATTGCTGTGGAAGAAGCAAACTGGAAGGCAAGAAGACAATAAGGCTGCCCCCAGCAGATGGAATGGACCTCTCTGTTTGGCCCCTTAATATTGTTCAGAAGGTGACACCTCTACACCCTCACGCCAACGTAACACAAAGGAGCCATGATCTGGAAGAAGGGCAGGAAGTACTGAGCTTGCTTATGATGCGGTATAAGACAGAGGGGTGCTCTTGGTTCCTAAGGAAATTCAGAATTCATCCGCATCCATCAACAAGAAGGAAGTGGTGGCCAGATTTGTTTCCTCTGATACCACCCACTGTTTAGCACAATGTGTTTACTTCTACCAGGCTACAGAAGCCCAGATGGAAAGAATCATGGATGTATCCCCCTTTGAATGGTGGCTCTGTGCCTAAGGGGTAAATGTCCAGCCCCTAGTTGGCCCCCAGGGCAGAGAGACACAAAGCCCAGGCAGGCCCACTAAACCAACACTCACTAGATGTTTTCCTGAAGTGTCCCCACAGATCAAGGGAG